CTTGCTGTTCTGGCGCTTTGGCTGCATGACCAGCATGCTAGTATTAAGCCTGAGCTTAAACCCAGGGAGAAGTTGCAAACTGATGGACACACTGGCTCTGGTGTCCCCCTGGGGTGACCTAGGATAGGGAGCTGGGACAGTTGGCTGGGGATGTTGCGGGGATCTTACACATTTTGGCTCAGTGTCCATGAGGATGCCTGGCCCAGCAGGCTCTACTGGTGGCCTGTGTCTTTGGCCACTGACTGGTTACCTGGAGAAATGAATAATCTACCTTGTGCCAGCCACCTCTGATGTCCCTCTATTTCTTTGCATATGTGGAAAGGGGTTTTCTTTCTGACCTCTCAAGTGGACTGCGTGTTTGCCTACCCTTAGCATTTGCTCTGGGGGCAAAATAAACAATATCCTTTCAGTGTTATTTCTTAAAAATCTATTTCTCTAAACCACATGTTTCTCTCCCAGTACAGTCAAAACTGTGAGGCTTATGTTTTCCTCCCCCTGCAGTGGGATTAGTGAAGCAATTACTGTGCTGATGGTGAAGGTGGGTATCATGTCTGAGTTTCAATGAGGTTAAAATTAAGGCACAATTGCAGGCTCCACTTTGGAGGTACATGGCAATCATCTGGAGTGCCCACCTTGCTGGAGTGAATGAGGAAGCAGCTAGCTAAACCTATAGGTACGGAGGGATTGCAGACCTATACTCAATGTTTCTAACTATTATGAAGTTATGTCAGGAAGATGTGGGGCTCAGGAGGAAAAAAGGAGGATGAAGAGGAAATCATGGAGCATGCCAGCCAGCTCCCACGGCTCTCAGCACAGCCCTGTCTCTGCACTGATGGATGACCAGGAGACAGACCCTTAGGGTGCATTACTCTTGGAGCCAGCAAGTGCACATGGGCTCTGTCACCATCCATAGGTTTGCCCGGGGAGGGGACGAAGCCATTTGTGCCTGAAATACAACCTAGTGGGAAGCCAAACCTCCTATCTCACAGCTCCTGGGGCGTAGCAGTGTAGTTGGCACAAACCTGGGGCCCAGTTTGGTGGATACTATTAACCCTTCAGGCCTTTACAACCACTCCCTGTGGCACATCTGCAGGGCTTTAGTTGTCAGAGACTAAATGGGCAAGGCTGGAGAGCACAGACAGGACACCAGGTAACTCTCAGGGCTTGAGACAGTTAGTTTTGATTTTGTTAAGACAAATTCATTAAACAGTTTATGGGTCATGGTGAAAATTTCCATGTGTACACAAAAAATCCCCCACAACCTACCCAACCCACAACAATATCAAAAAAACAAAGTAGTTTCCTCGTTCCTATTTCTGGGCTGCTAAAAAGCTGAAAATGTTTTAACAAAACCTTTCCTGTCAGCAGCAGCAATGACAGAATGAGGTGTGGATTCAGGAAACAAGGTATTTCACTGAAAGCAAAAATAATGGTTCAGATAGCAATGTTCTTCTGGGTTTTGATGTAGGATACTTTTGGTCAAAGTGTTGATTATTTTATTTTTACATGAAACCCCTAACGGGAGTACTAACCTTCCTACCCCTTCTACCCTCTCTCTCTGCTTTCATCCTGCTGCTGACAAACCACCAGCCCCCAGATCCTGGGCTGGACACACTGGTAAATCCGTGGAGCCTTAACATCCCATCCATCTAAATCAGCCCGAGCTCACGCACGTCTGCCCAGGCATTTCTCCTCCTCCAGGGCTGCAGCCCGGGCTGCGGATGATGCGGGAGGAGGGAGAGCATCCCGCGGTCACCTCCCCCGTGGCTCTGGCCCGGGTACCATGTGCGGGTGAGCTGGGGAGGCTGGTTGCCATAGCGACCGCTGCTAAAATGCTCCCCCTCCTCGCGCCGAGATGCAGTTGGTTGCAGACGGTCCCTCCTTGTGTGTAAGGGGGAGGCCGGCGATGAAGTACCCTGGGGAGGCTGGAGCGGGGCTGCCGCTGCCGAGGAGGCGGTGGGGGAAGCCCCTGGGAGCCCCAGTGGGCAATGAGGCTGCAGTGTTGGCTCCGTGTCCTCCCCACCGCTCGCCACGGCTGCTCCCGCTATCCCTCCCTCCCTGCCTGCCTCCCGCCCATCCGCGCCTGTCGCCTCCCGCTGTCGCCCAGCTCTCCCGGAGCCGGGTCCCTTCTCCCTGGCATTACCTGGCCGGGAAAGGAGCCTGACTCATCCCGGCCGGGCCCCTGCACATGCCAGAGGGAGCAGCCCCATCTTGTTGCCCTACGCCCGTGGAAGGAGGTAGGTGGCAGGTGGCAGGAAGTAGGTGGCAGGTGGCAGGGCAGGTAGCGGGTGGTTGTCGGGAATGTGGTGCACGGGAGCAATGTCATCTCTGGGTCCCCAGTCATCAGCAGCTCCTTGCTTCAAGCTGCAACCTGCCCAGTCCTGAGGTCGGGGTGAGCACAGGGCTGGTAACACTGCAGCCTGGGTTGTGCTCCAGTCATGCAGATGGGAGGGTTTTGTACCCAAAGTCACCTGTGTCTTGGCACCCTGCTCCCAGCCTCTCCCAAGTTTCTGCCCTGCCATTTGCAGTGTGCCCCCCAGGGCTCCCATCACAAGTGTACCCATGGCACCTTGAGGGGAGCGGAGGCGGCATGGGGGATCCAGGGGTGACATTGAAGGCGAGCAGTGGAGTGTAACGTGGATTTATAAAGGGTCAGTCATCTTACTGACATGAGACACTCTTTCAGATGAAAGACCAAAGACTCTTTTGTGACTTTCAGGGGATGTGGATGCCCTACTGCAAAATGGGATGGTGAGATCAGCATCAGGATGCTGAGGTCCAGCAAGGGTTAAGGCACATTTAGTATCTGCAGAACTGCTCCAAAAAGCTGATGTCTTTGAATGGAACTCTCTCTTTTTAGCGTTTGCTGGCAAAATCTGCTCACCTACCTGACAAAAGCAAGTTGCTTCACCAGGCCAGCCCCGCAGAGGCTGGGGGGGTGCTCTGACACCTTGTCCAGAACTCAGCTTGGCCATGGCGAGGACCCTTTTTTGTGGGAGCAGGGATGGGTGAGCAGTGTGAGGCTGCAGCACGAGGTGAGGGCTGCATAGCAAGTAGACTGAAGAATAGGTTGCTGGCGAGGAGCTGGGAAATGCTGGCTCTGCTAGTAATGGAGGGAGGATGAATTGGGAAGTCTGTAGGGCTGCTTTTTATTCTGGTGTTTTTTTGGATGGCAGCTTCGCTCCCATGTTTTGAAAGCAGACGATCAGGGAAGGAAATGAGGCTATTGGCTTTCCAACCGACACCCCAGGGGTTCCAGCTGGAGATGGGTATCAACAGCTGAGGCACCTCTGGAGAAGGGGTTTGCAGCAGCCTTGGCCCCCTGGGCTGTTTGCAGCAGCAGCTGGGGATGCAGAGGGTGTGAGGGAGCTACTTCTGTAGAGCACTTAGGAAAGCCATGCTGAGGGGCTTCTGGCCAAACACGGAGCTCAGACCTGGCTCCTTTTGAGGAATTCCCTCCCTCATCCCTTAGGATGAGTTGAGTGAGGGGAGTCCCACAGCTCCCCACAACATGTCTGTGATGTTATTGCAAGCTGTGGTGGGAGCTTTCCTCACTGGTTACTTACCTGAGGAAGGCAGAGGCAGCCATGAAGAAGCAGGAGCAGCACTCACACTGCCTCTTTGCTCTGTTCAAATGGTGGCCAGTGCTGAGCCTTCTACTCCTGTTGCACTTGATCAGGTGGAGCAAGGGCCTGTAAAAAGGGAAATGTGAATCACTGAGAGGGAGATAGAAGAAGTCTTCCAGAACTTTAGTTCTGGATAGTTCTGTTAATGGCAGCACCACGTGTAGCAAAACTGAGGACTGCTGAAAATCAAAGAACAGAGGAGGAGGCAAAATCCATTGAGGTCCTCCCTGTCATGCAAGGAGAACAAATAAATATCAACATCCATGCCAATCAGTGGGAGTAAATCAGGCATTTTCTCCAGTGTTGGTAGTTTCTTGCTTATGGTAGTAAGAATTGCAGCTTGTTTCAGATCTAATCCTGTGACAAAAAAGGTGTCACTCAGAGGGTAGAGATGAACCTCATGTTTCCTGTTACAGGCCTTCCTGTTCCAAGAGATGTCCAGCAAATAAATGCTGCTGGGCATATTGGAAACAACTGATGGCTGTGGCGTTAAAAAGGAAAAAAAAAAGAAAAAAGCCCAGCCTTCATTGTGGGAGAAGGCAGCAGCATTACGGGGCAGGAGCAGAGAAGAGTATGAAGATACTCAGGGCTCTCCCCAGCCTCCACTTAACTGCCCCCATGCTAGGGAGGTGGGGATACATGGTTATTGACAGAGGGATGACTTGGGAGACAGTTGCAGGTGACAGCTTTCAGCTGTCTGGAAAAGCAAGAGTTTGACATGGGTGCAGCTCTGCCCTTACTCTGTCCCAGCTGAATTCAAGGGGCACTTCATCACCCCCACTGAGGGGTGAGGGTACAGAAAGCCTCCCTTCAGGACAGCATTTTTATGCCTGAGTCCACCGCTATGATTTCCAAAGCCTGAGGGTCCCTGGTTTAATCCACCAAAGCCTGGGACAAGCAGCACATTCACAGTACAAACCCCAGCAGCCCTGGTGCCCAGGGAGGCCATAGTTGTGCTTTTAGGGGGGTAAGCTTCTCAATCCCCCTTTCTGTCCCTGCACAAGCCACAGCTTGGCAGGTGTTTTGGTAGGGGCAAGCAGTGGAGAGTTGGAGAAACTGGGCACCTCTAGGGTTGCAATGTGGGTTGCTCCCTCCCTCCCTCAGGACAGGAATAAAGGATGGGCACAAACGTGATGTTATTTTAAATGGCCCCAAGTCAGGGTGTATGCCCTGAGCACAGCAGCAGCAGGGCCATAATGGTGGGGAGAGTGTACCAGAGCACTAGCAGGGTGTGGGGCTGGGACTCCATCTGTCCATCCTTCCAGAAATCTTCAGCCGTGACAGCTGGACAAGGAAATGTTTTGCTCCTTCCTGCTTGCTCATTTTTTGCACTGGGTCAACAGTAATCATGCGGTGTGTTGTTTTGTGTTCCCCAGGGCAACGCTGCTCCAGACTCACCTTGCTCCTGGGTGGTGAGGACCTCTTGGTAAGGCAGATCGGCCGCTCTCGGTAAGTGTCTCCCACTGCCCCATGGCTGATGTGGTGGAGGGATCTGAGCTCTGCTCACAGACTGGTGGTGAACCAAGCACTGCAAGGTCCCTGAGCCCTCACAAAGCAGGACACTAAATAGGGGTGCAGCAAGGGAGGGCTCAGTCCCAAGCCAGACCAGCTCAGACTGGGAATTTAAAGGGGTCATGGAGAGTCAGGAGAAGCAGATTTTCCCTCAAGCAGGAGATGAGAAGCAGCTACCCACTTTCAATCACTGGCCGCAGGGCTGAGGGCATGCAAGCTCAACCACCTCTATGGGCAGAAGCAGGACTCCTGCTCTATGAGGTGCTCCCAGCAATGACCTCAAAAGCATTGACCTCTCCCAATGGATGAGGTGCCTTGGTGTGCATGAACTGGGTGCAGCAGGGCTGCAAGGAGGGGTGCAGAGAGGCTGTGCATTCCTGATGAGGCAGATGTCTTGTGATGAATCTTTGTGGAGGTGTTTTTTGGGTGCTCTCACTGTATGAACTTTCTCTCCTTTTCTCTGGCAGCCATGCCCCACTTCTTGGATTGGTTTGTGCCCGTGTATCTGATGATCTCCATTCTCATCCTGGTGGGCTTTGGAGCTTGCATCTACTACTTTGAGCCAGGACTCCAGGAAGCCCATAAGTGGCGAACACAGAGGCCAATCATGGAACGAGACCTTCGGAAGACACTGATGATTCGGGACAACCTGGCCTTTGGGGTGCCTGAGGTCTGACAAGCTGCCTATTGCATCCAGAAGAGTCTCTACGGGGTGGGCAGCAGATCACAAGCCTCAGTAGGGATGACAGTCTTGCCCTGGTGTAAGCGAGGCTGGTCATCACTTTGCGCTTTGCTGATCTGGGTCGTGTACTCACCACTCACCATTCTGCCCCTTTGCTTCTTAGTCAAGGTTTGTGTGACGCTGTAGACTTGGGCTTCCCATGTGCTCACAGCTCTTCACCCAGCCAAAGACAAAGACTTCTGCTCCTCCCCATGGCCAAGACTGATGAACCACTCAAATGAAACATCTCTTGTTAATCACATGAGTTTGAGCTGTCTGGCATCTCAACACAACCTTCAGTAGGAAAGTTCTCGACAGGGTAGCAGTCTTGCAAAGGGATACAGAACCTTTTACTCCTATTCACGAACTTAAATCTAACCCATTTTGTTTAAGTCCAGGGGGTCTTTTGGGGGAAGTAAATGGGATTTCAACACATCATTGCTTCAGCTGAGCTCTTCACAGTACCCATCCTTGGTGCTGGGATGGTAAGCTTGCTGAAGCTCTGTGCAGAGGGGCCAAGGGCTCAGCGAGCCCCAGAGACTGACTGCCTTTATCCCTGCTAAAGGCACACCACTTCTGTTTCTGTTTGGGAGGTGGAGAACATTCATCCATCCATCCATCCATTCCAGATGCACCATATTCAAATTAAAGGTCTTTACTAAAGAGGTTTATTCAAGTCCTGTGTCAAGCTGAGAATATTCTGCATCTCTCCATGAAGGGGTGCTGCCAGATTTATCACGTAAGCTTCTCCTGATCTGCCTGACCTTCTGTTCCTCTGTCGTGGAGTGAGATGGGATAGTCTGGGAGTCATCTCACACTTGTTCAGTACCCTGTGCTCCAGAGCCCTATGGCGTAGATAGGCTCTCCTTTAACTGTCACCCCAACAAAGCTGTGAAGCATCCCTGTATTTCTCTGCATGTCTCTGAGAAGGGACACTGAGCCTGCCATCTACATGGGCCCGTTATACCACCTCTGCTTTCTGGACCCAAGCTGTATAATGTAGGTCTGGCACAAAATCCCGTGTTTATAGACTTCCTACACTGTTCTGGGCCTGATTGGCCACCAAAGTGCTGGATGAAGTTGTGACACTAGGGCTAAGAGGGACATGCACACCTTCTCTCTCCCTGCCAGCCCAGTGCATTGCTCAGTGTGCACAGGGAGGTTTGGGAGAGCTCTGAGCCTGTGGCAGGAGGTTGTGTTACCTCTCCTCCCACCACAACACCCACCCTTTGGATGCAGTAGGTGCAGCAGTGCTACCTGTGAACACTCTGGCAACAGAGGGGTCCTGTGTGCCCCACTCCTGTATATCTCAGGTATGTTAGCCAGTGCCACCACCCCACGTGCACATCTGTGCATCCTGTGCCATCCCCTGGGCCAGCCAGTATCTTGACGACGCACATCTCCACTGTCCTTCCATTGTGCTGGCTCTGTTCTCCTTTTGGCAGTAGAAATTCCTCAGGCCAGCTACCCAAATCTTCTACAGCTCCTGGATGGGCTCGTGTCACTCAGCCTCACTTGTAAACCCATCAATGGAAGTTTTATCCTCCATTCCCAAAGAAAGGAGCAGAGTTCATTGGCTGGTTAGAGTGAGTGATGTGGGGAAACGCACTGAGCGGGATTACTCCTGTGCCCAGTTTCACTTACCCTGTCAAGCAAAGGCTCAAAGCACAGGTGTGTTCTGAAACTTGGTCATTCTCTAGGGATGAAAGCTAATTTTTAGCTCTAAGGAATAGGTCAGGACATTCTACAAATATCCTGGGTTTTCCTGGAATATTTCATACACCAGATTGCAAATGCATTACCATTCTCCTCCACACCAAAACCAGGCACACTGGCAGGAGTTTTCTGGTTCTGTTTCAGACAGAGGACAAATCAAGAGTCCTTTCATTCAGCCAAATAACAGTGACTATGATGCAAGTAGCCTAACTGGGGAGTCTCACTCATCAGGGAAATGCAGTGAGTGGGATTACTCCTCTGCCTGAAGTTACACTCACTCTGGCAAGCAAAGACTCAAAGAGCAAGTGCAACTTGAAACAGGTAAATTTTTGTGCCTTGTTGACTTGGGGCTGTGAAAGAGAAATGCCATGGGGCTGGGCTGCATGGTCTGACATGCCACTCATGGCTGCATGGCCCCCCTCCCCTGCCCACTGGCACATCACAGCCATATTTCTAAGCACCAGCTTGGAAACCTGTTTCCTCACCTTGACTCCGTCATAGGGAGGACTGCCCTGCAAACAGACACAGCTGAGCTGTGGGGCAGCAATTAAAACCTCTATGCTGGAACTGAGGGGCTTGGAGCAGTCAGGGACAGGGTAAACCTCCCCTGTTGGAAGGGGAGCCTGCACCCACAGGGGTCCCCTCTCCCCTCCTCCGTGTCTTCCTCTGCGTGCTGTCCTGCCTGTTTTTGCTTACACTCTGCCCACAACTCAGTATAGAAACTGAGCAAAAGAAGACAACAAACAGGCAGGGGATGGACTAGAGAGAAACTAATTATTCATCTCCTCTGGCTTGTGTTTTGCATTGTTTATGATGCATTCGGCATTAGGCCAGGTGTTTTCCATGGCTATAAAAGACTTTATGGCAAATAATATCAAGCCTTCCCCAGTGGAATAAAAGCGTGTGACAAACTGTGTGGCTGACGCTTTATTTTCCTGTTGTTCCCTCCTGGAGCTGCCTCCTTCCAGCTCTGGACAGGCAGCAAGGACCAGTCCACAGTGAGGTTTCCTTTACAGCAGAGTAGGTCTTCATCTGCCTGGTTCCTGTGCCAGCTACAGCAGAGCTGTCTGGGAACAATTAAGCCAAAGGCAAATGCTGCCTGAAAACTGAGACTGTTTCTCCTCTCTGGGATCTGTATAGGCAGAGAGACCTCAGGGGAGAGGGAAATAGTCACAGATACTAAATTAAAATGCATAAAGCATCAGAGAAGATACTTAGTGCTGGAAATACTACACAATATCAGGTTGGTCTTTTCTAACTTTTCTGTCTCTTTGCCCTTAAAGAAGCAGAGAACTCAAACTGCCCTGAGCCCTGCTTTCCACCAGCATTCCCCACGGCTAGCTGTGGGTCACTGGACAGTGATTCCCCTTTCACTTCCCTCAGTTCTGGCCACCTGAAGGCAGGCAAGCATCTCCCCTGACATGCTGTGGGTGCTATGGGTGCCCATCTCTCCTTTTCTTTGCTCCCACTTGCCCACCAAACCATGTTAGTTCTCATTCTATCCCACCAAAACACCTTTCTCCTTTCTTCCTTGTGTTGCCCTTCAATGTCTTTTATAGTAAGGAAAGTATAGAGTAGCAAGCTGATCCCTGCAATAGGTGTTCTCTTGACCATGAAAATGCCCCAAAACTGGCAAAATTAAGAAACAATCAGAATAATGAAGAAGTAAAAGAAAATTGGAATAAGGGAAAGAAGCATCAACTTGGATGAACACCCAGCAAACGACCACTGAACTCCCACAGTGGGATATAAATTGTTGCACTGGAATATGCCGTTTGAGGGGGAATAAAATAGAGAGGAAGGGAAAACATTTCAAATATTCAGAAATTTTAATTAATTTTTTTTTAAGTAATATCTGCTGTCCTTCGGAGCAGGCAGCACAGGGCTGACATGGCAGGTATGCAGTGATAGTCCACCTCCCCCCATGGGACCAGGGCAGGGGGTCATGGTGCAGGGCTGCCCAGGGTGTGGGGCTGTTGGTGGCGGAGGTCAGGAAGGTGCTGGGATAGGGGCAGGAGCAGCCAGGGAACCCAGCGTGGGAGTGTGCCATGCAGGCCACAAGGGCCCCATTGTCGCAGCTGGAGGCGGGCTGGCTGGCTGGACAGGGCTGGAGGTGGGGGCTCAAGCATGTGGATGACGGCAGCTCCGGGGAGGTCTGCACCCCGAGACACCACATCTCTGACAGCGGGGAAGGCCTGGGCCCCCCAGCCCGGTCTGGCACTACCAGCTCCCCGCTCTCACACCTCTGCTTGCAGCCTGCTGCTGACCGCCATGGAGGAGGACATCGCCCTTCATCGCAGCTGCCTGCCTGCCCCAGGCAGCCCCACCAGCCCCAGATGCATCCTGGGTTCCCCACGGCAGCGGGACAGCCCCCTTGGTGCCACTGCCTCCACGAAGAGGAGCTGCCTTTCCGTCACCCTGCGCCGGGCTGGTGGGGGTGGCGGGGGGCCCCCATGGGAGCGGCTGCGAGGCCTTGCCCCTGTCACCCCCATCGCCCCTCGCCCTCGGCCCACAGCGGCCAAGGGGCCCCAGCAACATGGCAGCTCTGGAGGGGCTGAGGCCACCCTGGTGGCGAAGACGGGGGTGTCATGTGCCCCACCACGCTCCGGTGGGTCTCCGCTGACGGGAAGGGCTGGGCATGGGGGAGGGAGGCACCAAGGGGCCCCTTGGCATGGAGCCCAGCATGAGGCAGGACCCCTAGGAGAGGTGGGATGATGTGGGGGAGGATGGGGGCTTCCTTCCCTGGGAGTGATTTCCCCTTGACCCACAGTGGGAATATGGGTGGGCAATGGCAGGTGGGAGGAGCACCCGTGAGTTTGTGAGCCTGGCACCCAGCAGGGAAACAGGCAGCTGTGGTCGCCATGTCAGGAGATGTGAGTGCCAAGATGTCTGTCTGTCTGTCCGTCTGTCTGGAGGCAGCCAGCCTGTCAATGGCTCAGCCTAGCCTGGGTAACTGCTGGTGGTGGTTTCTAAATGTTCTAAACGTTCCAATAATCTGCAGCATGTGCAGTTTCCTTTTTGCCCCAGAACGCTGCAAAAATAGGCCCTCCAAACCCGTGCTGAGTCTGCCAGGCATCCAACAGCCTGGCCTCCACCCAGGGAGCTGCCTCATAATGGAGGGACACATGGGGAGAGCCCTGAAAGGGTGCTGCTGTCATCTTACTGAGTAGAGGGTCAGAGTATTCCCAGATGTTGGTGCCCTAGCCCAGCATGGTGGGGCCATGGTGCCTGGTGGGGCTAGGGCTCACAAATGTAGGAGAAGGAAATGCAGGGGGAAGGGCATCCCCATCCAAAGGTGCAAGCAGCCAGAGGCATCTGCACAGCTCTCCAGGCACAGGCACATCCACTGGGCAGGTGGGCATTGCCAGGCACATATGCCTGCCAGGGCACATGGGGATGTGACCTGTGTCCCCCGACATGGCCCAAGGGGGACGACCTCTCCCTGCTCCCCGCCCGCAGGCACACACATGCACACCCGCATGTACACATGCATGTACACACACGTGCACAGAGGGGCCAGTGGGGGCCAGTGCCGGCTCTGCCTCTGTGCTGTGGGCTGGCAGCCAGGAATCACGGTGCCGGAGTAGAAAAGGTTTCTCACACCTCCACAAGCAGAGCTGAAGGGCAAATCACATTTGATGAATCAAAACAGTCCTAATTTCCTCCCTCCGGGAAAGCAAAAGGAGACCTTGCAATCCTCTGAACCCAAAAACTACCTAGGGACAAAGAGTGTCCTTTCTCAGTCCTGCTGGAGCTAAGCTGTGAAGGGTTAAATATGCCCCTCCCTAAGCAAGCAGAGATGCTGCAAACGCTGAGGAATTGGGAGGGAAAGGGGCAAGAAGAGGCCTGTGTGGGGTGGGTGTGCAAGGGGGGGCCCTCTGGGACATATGGGGGGGCCATCGGCAGTGGCCCCTTGAACCCCGCGGCCATGCTCCTCCCCAGGGCAGGGAGGACGGCAGGGGCCTGGGATAGATTCGGGGGGCCTGGGATGGAGCCAGGGGAGGGTGCGCGGGGGGGGAGATTTTGCGGAGATGTTTAATATTCAGGTCACATGACGATGGCAGCAGGAGCAGCACCAGCATCCCCGCTCTGCTGAAATAGCCACTGGAGAAGGAAGGGAAGGAGAGTGGGGGAGAACAGGACACAGGGAAGAAAGAGTAAGGTAAAAGCAAGCAGAGCCTTGTAGCCCACCGTACTACTTCATCAGCATCAGGCTAGAAAAGTGGGGGGAGATCCACCCCCTTGCGAGAGGATTCGGAGACAAAGGAAGCTTCATGTTCAAAGGTAGGATGCTCCGGGCTTGGCAGAGCTGGGCAGCGCCAGAGGGATGCCGCTGGGGCTTTTTGTGCAGGCATCCTACGCCATGCCCCCTCGTTTCCCAGCTCTGGGCACGGGGGAGGGATAACCCCGAAGGGCAGCAGGGGAAATCGGTCCCGGCTTTGACTTTCCTCTGTCTTTTTCCTTTTGGTGGCAGCAGTCTCGTATGAAGGAGAAGGAGCAGGGCTGGTTGTGGTGCTGATGGGGAGTAGCTGGCTCCAGGCACTGCTCTGAAAGAAACAGATAATCCCAGTTGGTCCAGGGCTGGGGAAAGCCCACAAGCTGCTCGGCTCTTGGCTTGTCCCTTGCCAGTGACAGGCAGTCGCTGCGGGGGCAGCGGGGGTGTCCTGTGCTGCTCCCTGGGCATCTGCGCAGGAGCCGGCAGGCATGAGGGCAGGGGGAGAGGCAGCTGCGGTGGTGTGGGTACCCTGGTCCAGGGGTGCTCAGCATCCTCTCGCCTGTGCCGCCCAGGTGTGAGCTGGGCCATGGGGTAAGGATTGCAGGGCTGGAGAGCAGCACTGAGGGCTGCTCGTTGGGGCTGGGGCTGAGGCGGCTGGGCTGGGGATGTGGCCAGTCCCTTCCCCTCCAGCTTCTGCATCTCCAGAGAGGCTTCGGCACACACTGCCCTAGATTTCGCTGCAGCCGGGCTCCTGCCCAAGCCCTTTGCAGAGTGCTGAGGGTAAGAAAGGTTGCTGCTGGGAAGGCTGTGGCAGCCCAGAGGGTTGATCTTCAAGCCAGGCAAAAAGACCTGTAAGAAGAATGACTCTGTTCTATACCTGGAGGTCAGGCAGTGCATCCGGCCATCACGGCTCAGCCACTGCCCTGCACAGCTGAAAGAAGTGCCCTGGGGTCATCATGGAAACTGAAGGGGAAAGATATTTTTCCAGTGGAGAGATGCTCAGTCCAGAACCTCTGCAAATCTGAAGCAAGGAGCAGGTCCTGATCCCTGCCAGCTCCAGGGAGGCTGTGCTACTCAAACAGCTGCTTGCTTTCCTTTGTAGGGACCTGGCATCATCACCAGTTGAGGGTCTGCTCCTGCCAGACGACTTCAGGTTCTGAACCCGTTCCTCCTCCCTGTTCCATGTCTGCAGGCAGTGGAACTGTGGGTCCAGAGCCACATGGGTGGAAGGGGCTGGGGTGAGATGAGTGTGTGGATCATCGCTTCCAGCGGGAGCGAGACAACCTTGTGCTGCATGGGAGGAGAGCTGCTGCGAGGCCATCCATGTGTTACGTGGGGGTTAAATAGCTTTTCTTTGCTGGAAGCTGGCTTGTGGTGAGCACTGTTTGCAGTCCTCCCTCCCTCTTGCCACTCAGACAAAGGATGGAAAGGCAGGGGGAGGGGATGCGACTGTATCTGGGTTATCAGAACATAATAGATGTTAGTCCCCACTACCTGAGCCCCTAAGGGACCTGTAGGGCCACCTCTGCCCCCAGACAGCTGCTGAGAACCTCAGAGGTAGACATGAAGGGTGAGCTGCAGTAGTGGTGTCTGCTGCCGGCCATGTATGCTGGCCTTCCAGGGAGAGGTTTTGGGGTGGGTCATGGGTGTCAGAAGCAGGAGCTAGCTGGGACTGTGGGGACCTCTCTGGGCAATTGGTGTGCTTCTGGTCCTGCCTGTCCTGGCCCCAGATGCTGCACTGCACTTCTCCTTACTCCAGAGCTGAGTGGAGCATCTCCTGTGAGCCAGATAATATTCCCTGACAGTCCATCCCAGCCCAGGCTACCCCCTACGGGATCTGGGCAGCAGGGGTATTGCCAGCAACCACCCTCTTAAATGAGCTTCTGTTAGCATGTAGAACAAAGCAGCAAAGAAAAAAGGGGCCCTGCGAGCAGCAGATGTAAGTGGTTAACCTTGGCTACCCCTCTGTTCATTGTCAGCTGTACTGGCTGTAGTGCCCTATCATGTATTCATTACAGGGAACAGCTGGAAGGGCTATGGGATGTGCCCAGGACACATGATGCCACCCCTTGAGCAGCCACTCAGCGCTCAGGAGGCTTCCTAGCAGTATTAGCTTTAATGCATATAAAACAGCCACTCCCAGGAGAGCAGGAAGGCACATTTCTTGTCTCAGGGTGCCTCTTATGGCTCTGATCCCTGTTTTGCACACCCTGACCTCCCTAGCAGGTTGTTCCTCAGTTGGCTCCTTGGATTCATCTGTGGGAATCAAGAGGTGGAAAATCATGTGCAGAAAGCTGAACCCCTAGGTAATGTCTGCAAAATGGGGGCTTCCCTGACTGAGGCTGAATGGGAAGGCACCCCACACAGAGAGGAAGGCAAGTGACTGAGAGGATAAAGGGAGGTTGCTTACCCTGCCACCTTGGATGTCCAGGTATAAAATCCAGGAAATATATTTAAGGAGACTTCTGGAGATCTTTTCTCCTCATCTCAGGGTTTTCTATAGCTGCTCAGGAACCTGACTGAAATATCTGGCTCCAGCTGCAAAGGGATGGCCACATATCGTGATGTCCACAGCAGTCAGCAACATCTGCTGGCTCTGGGCAAAGCTTCCCTTGGTGAGATTGAGGGATGAGTTATGAACCTCTTAGTGAGCCTTGAGGCTGCCAGCAACTTCCCTCCTTCCTCATCCTTCCTGTGCAAGAATGAAGGTGGAAGGAATAAAGGAGAGGGCAACAGATTCCCTGAGGACAAGCTACTACCCAGGAAGCAAAGGGGTCACAGCCCACATGGCCCAGGTCCTCACCCATCCCATGCAGCTGGTCAGCTGGGCTTTCTTCTCACCTCGACCTGTTCCTATACCTCTCCAGGGTTTATTTGGCCCCACTTATTGCAGTAGCCAAGTGCCTCACTGGGGCCACAGCCCCTTGTCCCACATGCTCTCATCATTACCTGTCTCTCTCTTGTCCCTCTCTTTGGGATAGGTGGGAACCCAGTAGGGCTGTATGGGGTGTGTGCTGGTGGATGCGGCAGCAGGATGAGAGACATGGCACAACCATTAGACCATGATACAGGTGGTGTGGGGCAGCCTGGGAGAGAATGAGTGAAGGGCAGTGTGCAGGAGAGCTGGCTGGCCTGGCCCCCTATGCTGTACGAAAAATCTGGGCTTTCCTGGCTGGCACCAGCTTTGATAAAGCTGGAAAAAGACAACAGGAGCCTCAGGGAGTGCTTCATCAGCAAGAAAGGCACAGACTAGTTGTGATGGGTGTAAGAGAGGATTGCAGCTGAGAAGTGCTCGGCTCGGCAGGCTGCCTCCTCCAGCAGCTGCCCGGCAGTGTGAGGTGCTCCAAATTGCCAGCCTGGTTCAAGCCAACGATCCATCTTGTGCTCTGGTCCCCCCAGGGTGCTGCTCACTGCTTCAGGAGAGGATGATGATAGCTCAGGGTGCCCTTGCTCAGTGGGGAAGAGCAGTAGGGGGACCATCCTCCTGCCGACCTTTTCTGTATGGGCAAGGTGGAACAGAGCTGGTACAAGAGCCTTCAGATGTTACCCACAGTGCTGTGCAGGAGTAGCTGTGCTATCATCCTCTCACACAGAGGAAAGATCCCTTCTCCCAGTTTAAAATCAAAGACTTCCAAAGCAGTGTAGAAGGAGCTGGGTGGAGGCACCCTTCTCCCTGACAAGGGTGGCCCTTCCACAAGGTCTTTCCTTAGCACATGATAGTAGGATATTACAGCTTATATAAAATGTAAGATCTTCACCATGTAGAGCAGCCCTGTGTCTGCACAGAAGCTCTGATGTGGGAATGCCAGGCAGGGTCCCCAGCTAGCCACGGAGCGTGCTGCAGCTTAACCTGTCCTTGAACAAAATCTCTCTGACCTCTCCCCACCCTGCCTCTGCCTGGCCTGGCTGAGCTGTCACAGGGACTGTGGATTGGTGCCATCAGTGTTCAGAGCCTGATGATCTCTGAGTCATGTTCCTCACCAAGAGGGGCATGTGTCACGCACCAAATGGCAGTCGCCTGCCTGGCTGCTCATGTCCTTCTCTGCAGCCAGTGGATTCTGCTGAAAGGAGAAAAAAACTCTGCTGAAATGATAGAAAGGGATAATTTAGTGTGAGATACTTCAACTGAAGTGGCATCCAAAACAAACAGAGTACTTACCAAGCAAAACCACACGCTGTCTCTGTCCTGGAAAAATATCCACTTAATGAGACAAAGTGTGGGGGAGTCAAGTAATTAGAGTTGGAGAGGCTCTAGTTTGCAGATGGATTGTATATGCAAGGTATTTGATTCCCATCCCCTTCATCCTCCTTTCTAGATTCATCCCTCATGCCTCCCTTCCTCAACAATTACAGCTTTTCTTCAATGCCCGGTCCTCTCCCAACCTCTGGCTTCCTCCCAGTGGCATGGATCTGCTCACTAATGAGACAAGAGATGGAGATAAATGGGCAAGGCCTGCCCTAAGCAATGTGTGCCATCACCCGAAAAAGAGTCAGAGAGGCTAGAACGCCCTCAGGGCCTTTCTTTTTGCCTGTTCGTTTTACATGGAAGAAGTGAGGAGGGAGAGGTGAGGAAGGAAAGATGCAGATAATAATTTTTTTGATCGTGATGATTAGTTTCTTGAACATGACAAAAAACACTGGTTTGTGGATGGGAGGCAAGCACAGAAATTATAGCCATGCTTTCACTTCCACCACTGCCTTCCTCTGAGGAACTCAGCCTGCACAGCACCAGCATGGCCAGTAATGCAGCTGCCCCTGGCAAGGGCCAAACTTACAAGTCCCCACAGTACATCCCAAACTCTGTTTCAATGCCAGGACTTGACACACAATAGTTCTTGAAAGTCTGTTCTACCACAGATTTTATGGTAAACTTGGAGTGGCAAAACACTGGTGATCCTGTGGAGAACTGAGAGACAAAAATGAGGAGACACATACAGAGCTTTGGGCACCTGATTAGCAGCCCAGCCAGGCTTGCTGGGTCTGTTCCTGCTGTTTGGAAGTAGCCATCAATATGTGGAAGTAGCCATCAATGCATGCTCAATGAAGCCCACTTCACCTCCTCATCTGGAGTTGTGCATAGAAGTAGATGTTCCTCCATGAAGAGAGCCTTACCCCTAAAATCTTGCCATTCAGTCATCCTCAGTAGGCCTTGAAATTGCTCAAAGTTGCCCTCAGCCTCTGTGACAGGTCAGAGGGTTGTTTTACACCTTGTTGATGATTTTTCAATCTTTCTTCCCATGCAGGACCAGTGGAGAACAAAAACGAAGCAGCCATGTCTGAGCTGGTCCCAGAGCCACGACAAAAACCAGTTGTACCGATGAAACCCATGGGCATCAACGCCAGCTTGCTGGGCTACATCGGTATTGACACCATCATTGAGCAGATGCGCAAGAAAACCATGAAGACAGGTTTCGACTTCAACATCATGGTTGTAGGTAGGCAGGGACCAGATGAGGAACTGGGAACCATGGCCAGGGACTGTCCTCTGAGGCCAGGTGGGAGAGCGAGCCCTGCGGGGAGGGCACAAGGGAGCAGACAGCATTTGCCCTGAGGGAAAGGAGAGCCTGCACAAGGCAAGGAGACACCTACAGCCCCTTCCCCTGCCAGCCTGGCTCCATCCCCTGGGCCTGCTGCCATCACCAGCCTGTGACAAATGTCACAAGCTTCCTCTCTGCAATCCTCAGGTCAGAGCGGACTGGGAAAATCAACGTTGGTGAACACGCTCTTCAAATCCCAGGTGAGCCGCAAATCTTCAGGCTGGAACCGTGAGGAGAAGATCCCCAAGACGGTGGAGATCAAAGCCATTGGGCATGGTAAGAGCCAGGCTGGTGTGGAAGCAACACTGATGCTTCAGCACGGTCTTGGAGAGGGTCTCAGCAGTCTACGCAAATAGTTCTTTGGTATTAGGCAGCCATTTCTCCATGGAAAGCTAAAGGACAGTTTTAGATGGCCTCAGAGCCAGACAAGGCTTTTCTTAAACAGCAATGCCACTAATGCCAGAGCCTGAAGTGAGGGGTAGAAAAATAGTTATAGATTTTTCTCCTGCTAAGACATTAGTCTGCATGTGTCAATTAAGCCTTGCTGTAAGACATTCCCACCTGCAGACACTTAATCATCTATACAAGTTGCATTCATGGGTCCCATCCCAAGCCCAGCAGAGCACATCTCCTCATGGCAAAGCATCAGTACAGCTCCTACAGTAGTACAGGGTAACGAGCATCATCTCAGATTCAGGATGATGCATTAGAGGGGAGGAGAATTTGTGTAAGTAAGGTAGGTACTACCTTTGGGCCACAAACTGAGCACAAATCCGTTTTCCCGTGTCAGAGTGTTGTAAGGTGGCTTTGGTGCAGATGTTACCAAAATTTGGGGTTAGACATGCAAGTGGGGGTCATAACTGTTGAGGTATGACCCAGCCTTGTCTGGTCATACTTGCTGGGCAGGGACAAGGCCAGAGCCCTCTTGTTCCCTTGTAGGACACAGAATCATGTTTCATGACAAAACAGGTCTCCAGGGAGAAATATGATTGTTTGCAATTTCTCCTCCAGTCATTGAAGAAGGTGGTGTCAAAATGAAGCTTACAGTTATTGACACGCCAGGATTTGGGGACCAGATCAACAATGAGAACTGGTGAGTTTTACAAGGTCAAGGCCTTATGTCTCAGGAAGGTCTGGAATTAAGATAGTATATGAAGTGAGTCTCATCTACTGGGCCCTGGAAAGCATCTGGGATCCTACTGCACTCAGCGGGCTGGTAGTGGAGCCATGAGATTGTGAACCCCATGGGTCTGTGTGCATGCTTGGGGGTATATACCCTTTACGTGGTGAATGGTTATTTCTGTGCCCAGCTACAGAAACTCTAAACATCTCTGCTGATAGCAAGATGCTTGAGGTGGATACTTTTTATGCCTGAGCCTGCTTTGCTGCTGTCAGAGCTGGGTAGGCAGAAACATGGAGATTTGTACCTGTCTATTCATCTCTCTCTCCCACTTTAACAGCTGGGAGCCTATTGAGAAATACATCAATGAGCAATATGAAAAATTTTTGAAAGAGGAGGTGAATATTGCAAGGAAGAAACGAATTCCAGACACGCGAGTGCACTGCTGCCTCTACTTCATCTCCCCTACAGGCCACTCGTATGTACACAGTCCCTCATTCTCCCTCAAGCCCTTGGTGTCTCTGTGCCAGATATATACCCTACACTGCTCCATTTCAGACATGGATCTGGGGATCCTACCAGCAGAGCTGGCCACTGTTTAGCTTAACTTCAGGTGCTGTGGGGCTTGAAAGGGTCTAGGATAACAAGAGTAGGAGAAATGCCACTGTGTTTTTTGGGAGAGGGCAAGATGGATGGGAAGAAGGAGATGAGAGCATGGTGGCAGCAAGCAGAGTATGTACAAGGGAGGGTTCACTGATGCCCTAATGCTGAGAAAGTCACTAGGATGAAAGGCAATGAGGGTAAAGTGACCCCTTCCATGTTGTTCCCTCTTGGGCTGCAGCTTGCGGCCTTTGGACCTGGAGTTCATGAAACATCTCAGCAAGGTAGTGAACATCATCCCAGTTATTGCCAAGGCTGACACCATGACCTTGGAGGAAAAGACTGAATTCAAACAAAGAGTGAGTATCTCCTCTCCTGCACGGGATCTTTCCCTGCCCTGGCTTGGAGGTGGGAGAAATGAGTGGTGTCCTTCCTGGGATTGCAGTGCAGTCCAGCACTGGGTGGGTGGGTAAGTCCTCAAGATGCAGCTGTTTATAGCTCTGAGGGCATCTTTAGAGAAGGAAGAAATGTGTGCATTCCCGTGATATCTTCTGATACATTCTGTTACGGGAACTGGAGAGCCAGACATGTAACTGGGGTCAGGAAGAAAGACTCATCATTGCTGATGTGTGTCCTCACTTTGCTGTGCACTTCCTTGGGGCAATCCCTCCAACCCCTGCCCACTGGAAGGATGTCCCAGATGTGTTTGCTCGGCCATCTCAACTGCCTTCCCCTCAGGTTTGTGCTGCTTTATGCTCCAAAATGTCTCTCTGCTTAGGTGCGCAAAGAACTCGAAGTAAATGGGATCGAGTTTTATCCCCAGAAAGAATTTGATGAGGACTTGGAGGATAAAACAGAGAACGACAAAATCAGGGTATGAAACATTTTATTGTGGGAGGGGAAGGGGGAATGAGGAGGGCACCACATTTCATTCTGCACTCAGCACCATTGCCCTCACACATAGTAAATAAACTGCTTTTTAATCTCCATTCCTGTGGTAACTGCAGTCTCTTCCCAGGCCCAGGGATATCCATAAAGCTGCGTAAATCTATGAACATCTGCACAACCTTATGGATAGCAGGGTCTCCTGTACCCCATGCTCTGGAAACAGACAGTTTCTCCCTGTGCTTAGAGATATCTGGGTCCCCAATAGCCTCACCTAGTGTCCCACTTCCCAGTAAAGCTGCATCCCTACTCCATTTCTGGCCTTCCTTGGTACAGCCATTTCAGCCATTAAACTTGTTGAATTTTCCTGTGTCTTACTGGGGAAGATTATTTTGAGTCCTCTCCTTTTTCTCTTGTGAAGAACTACAAACTTGGTGAGAAATACTCACCTCAAACTATCCGTATGAACAGCCCTGGTCTGACAGACCCTCCCCTGGTAATACCAAGGTACTTCTTCTCTGGTCATCTCCCTCTTCATAAATGCTGGTGATGGATGCAGAAAAGCTCTGCCTCCTGCTCCAGAACCCTTGGCACTGCTGCAAGCTACCCCCTAGGCTTGGGGTGGTGCAAGGATACCTGGAAAGCAAGGGTCCAAAATGCTAGGGATAGCACTAATGGGTGAAGAGGACAGCCAGTAAAGTTTTGCTTGGGAGAATCTATTGCCTTGGAGAAGGCCTTGTGTTTGTTGAGCTGAGAGGAGGAAAGGTGGATGGGGAACAGTCGTGGTGCTGCTCTATGGAATGGGTTCAATAGGTCTTTCCATGTGTCTCTCCCCAGCAGGAAAGCATGCCCTTTGCAGTAGTGGGCAGCGACAAGGAGTACCAAGTGAATGGCAAAAGAGTCCTGGGCAGGAAAACACCTTGGGGAATCATTGAAGGTAAAAAAACACTTGCTTCTGGGAGCTGAAAGTATGTCTGTAGGTCACAGTAATAGACAACATCCAGATAACATGTCCCATGGATACCTTCCCATCCCATTTGTGATAAACTTTTTGAAACAAAACAGGAGGAGAATTCTCAAATAGCTGTGCCAGAAGGAAACTGCCATGGCCAATGCAGTGCCACTACCACCACATGGTAGAAGCTGGAGCCGCTCTGAACACCACAGTGTGTGAAACTAAGCTCCTGAGGTTGCCTTGGTTTTCAAATATTCAGTCACAAAATTCATGTGTGACTGCCCAGCATCTCTTCATGTCTCCTCAATGCTCGACAGTGTGGTGTTCAGACAACTGTTTGTCCTTTCTGAAGTATGCAGGTTCTACCCACCTGGAACCTGCCCCATAGCAGTGACTTTCCCATGCTCTGTAACCACAAAGGGGTTGTTGAAAAAAAATCAAATGTAATGCAACTGCTTGCTTTCTTTTCAGTGGAAAACCTCTCTCACTGTGAATTTGCTCTACTTCGAGATTTTGTCATCAGGTAAGGCCATGATCATGCACTAGTTGATTAGCCATGAGTCTTCCTGAGATCCACTCAGAGTGAAATAGCCCCTATGGAAAGGAGAATGGAGTACATTTCAGGCAGTGGAAGCTTATGTGGGGTAGGGTTGGATTGAGTTAAGGGGTAGATACTCCAGTGCCTCTCTTAGAGACATGACCACTATGTCAAGTAGGTGCTAGTTTTCATGTATGGGCTGGACACCTGGAGAAAAACAGAGTACTACCACATCACCTATATCCCATTAAGGTTGTAAAACCTTCTATTTGTTGCTGGAAAGAGGTCAGTGATCAAGAGGTCACTACCCCCTTGTAGACCACGTGTCCTTCCAGGTTGAAGGATGTGCTGAAACATATAAACTGGAAGTGAAAAGCTCCATATTTCATTCAGCTTTCATTATCCTGTCTTATTTCTACTCTTTTTCATGAAGTTGCCTCAGTATAACTGATATCTGCCCCAGATTCTGTAGGAGAGCTGCAGATCCAGGGTCACCTCTATTCCCTATAAATAAAATAAGGTTTTAAAACAACACCAAAAATAAGGAAAATAAAGGAAACAAAGTTCAAATCCAGAGGCCTGTGGCTCATTCCACCTGTGGGTATGGGGGTATCAAGACACTTGGCCAGGTACAATGCTTTGACATCACCCTACTGCCCTCTTTTTGTTCTGCGATACCTTCAGCAGCAGAGATGCATTCCTCAAGTCTTCCCGTAAAAACAGCCTACCCAAAAGATCATCACAAAGCATATAGCAATCCAAGCCCACAGGCTTTCTATGAAGGTTAGAGATGATGCTCACAGCAGTGTTCTGCAGGTTATGGTCTGCAGTGGATACACCCTCCTGATGCTTCCTTGTCTCACCACTGCTTCCGATAAGTTCCTGTCTGCTCTGACACACCAGGATGGCCAGTAGCTGTCCTGGTGGCACGGGTGTGAGAGGGGCAGGGCACTGGCAAGCATAGCCAGGAAATTCAGCCTGTATCCTGCATCCTGCATGTGTGCCCTTGAATGTTGAGGCTCCAGCTCTCAGTTATGTATGATGGTACCCGTGCCAACCATGCCGAAAGAGGGGTATGATATTAGCAAGACTGACTGAAAAAATCTCCCATTTATCTCAGGGAATAAAATTATCATCAGAAAATTAATACTGACTGTGCTGATATTGGTTATCATACCCTGTTTCCCACCTCACTTTGTCCTCTGCAGGACCCACCTTCAGGACCTAAAAGAAGTGACCCACAACATCCACTATGAGACCTATAGGGCCAAACGGCTGAATGACAATGGAGGGCTGCCCCCCATGACTGTTGAGACAGAGGAAAATCATGAAAGTAACCTGTGAATGATCCTCCTCCCCGCTATCACCCAGTGTCTCTGGATATGACATCCCACCCCTGCTATCCTTGACTCTGCCATGGACCTGTCTCTGAAGCATGTGGCACATCCTCCGTGGGCGTGAGAGGATGCAAGTGTGAGTGTGTGCAGGCGTGCATGTGCCCACCGGTGTGCCGGAGAGGGACCAAGGGCACCTCCCCCACCCTTCCCAGAGTGTCCTCATTCTCAGTTTGTTTTTTGCACAGTGGACTGTCCGTCATCTTCCCTTCTCTCTTTTCTGTGTCTCAGCTGTGTGTCTTGCCTGGGGCAAACAGGGTTGGGGGGGAGGATTTCTGGGTGCATGGATATTGGAGGTGGGAGGTATGGGGCATGCTGTGGTCCTGTTTTTATCACTTGGAGACATGGTAAGGAGAGACTCCAGGAGAGATGGTGAAGTCAGTGCATGCAGTGCTTCCAAGAGACGTCAGCAGAGATTTCTCTTGGATGTTCCATGGGTGTAAAGGCAGCTGGTTGCTCTGAGGGCATGGTGGCCTGGCATTTTATCCCCATTTCTTGCTGTGGCTTCCCAAGGGGAAATGGCACCTTGGAAGTGGATAGGTAAGAGAAGACTGACACGTTTTATGGTTCAGAGCAAGTGATTAGTGGGAGGAGACAAATTAGTTCTTGGGCTGTAGCATCTATTTGAGAAGCATCAAAGTACTTGGGGAAAATATATGTATTTTCGAAAAGAAGCAAAACCCAGAGGAAAAGAACACGTGCCCATTGCAGAGGGTGCATTTGCCCTGCCCAGTGCTAAAGTCAAAAGCCATGCTTGTGTCACAGGCATTTGACTCTGTGCAGATCAGACCAAGCTGTCCTGGGGTCACCTCACCTCCTGGGGTCACCCCATCCCATTGCTGCAATCCCCCATTGCAGTGGTCTCTCCACCAGCAGTGAGCACACCCCAGGCAACCTTACTCTGACCTTTACCCAACATGGCCCCTCTGCTGTGAGTGCAGGAAAGATAGTGACATGGGGGATCCCTGCTGGGAGCTCCCACAGGGACAGCTCCACTCGGCACAGGGCCTTGAGGATCTTGAGAGGAGTGAGAAGAGCTATGGATTGAGAAGCACTGGGCCAGGGTGTCTCCCTGGGTCTTCACTGATGGTGGAGACGCAAGAGATACCTCTTCCTCATTGACATGGCTGCACTTGTTATTGCAGCAGTCTCAGGGCTGTTCTTCTGTCCTCCTACTGTCCTGTGTCTTCCTCAACTCCTGTGCTTTTATTCTCATTCCCTTTTAGCCCTCCATAGCTTTCTTCCTTCCTTTCTTTCCCTATCTCACTTTCTCAGCTCTTTACCCTTTCTCTCTCTCCTTCATTTCTCCAAGAACTTGAATATTCCTCTTCTCCAGGCTGTTTCCTCCCTCTCCCAAGCTCTCATATCTTCTTAATAATGTGCTTTTGTGCCCTGTTGAGGAGCTGTCATTTTACCTTCCCCAGAGTAGAAAAAGGCACAGCTTTACTGAAGACTACATGCCTGTGTCTAGCTGGTGTGAGCTGTTTTCTGGATGTCCCTGAGTGAGGTGGAAAGTTGGGTCTGTCTTGGGCAGAAGGGAGGGGGGGGGAGAAGATCAGAGATGTCCTGAGTTTGGCAGTGTCTGTCTGTCTCTGCACGTCACATGGCTGGCAGGGGTTGTCCCCTCCAGGAGACAACTTAAAATGCAGGGGCAGAATGCCATGGTGTGGGATGGCAGCACTGTGAGTAAGGGGGAGTGCGGTCGGTTTGGGATGGAGGCTGGAATGCCTGATGAGGGAGGGAGGAAGGAAGAGGGAACAGCAAATGAGCAGCGGAGGGGGACTCAAGTCAAGCCCGAGGCTGCTTGACAGAGTGGTACAGGGGCCAGGGCTGGAAACAGGGTGCTCCAAGCCTTAGCAAAGCTGTCTAAGAGTACATATCCATCTTGTGGCTTTCTCTGGTGCTGTCACTGCAAAGCAAAGGTCTCTTCACTCTCACTCTCACTTGTCCGTGCAAATCAGCCATGCTCAGCACCACTAGGATGCGGGGGCCATACCGGCTCCCTGTAGTGCTTTCACCACCCACATTCACAGCTCCCGGTGTTCCTGTATGCAGTGTGTGCACATAGCCATGCAGCCCCCTTCCCCCTGCACCAGGCCTCCTCAGGCCTGCAAGAAACAAGAGCCTTGTCACCAGCGCCAGCAGCCGTACCATGGACCCTGCAGAAACCATCCTGCCACACTGCTCCCCATCCTGCCACACAACGAGCCACCCTCAGCCCAAGGCCATCAAAGACATCCTCATCAAAGACATCAGGGCTGTTTCTTCACAGCACCGAAGCACGAAGCCATGTTCTGTGTTCATCGCCCTGGCTGCAGTGTGGTAATTTCTAAGACTTTTGAGCCCAAACAAGAATTATGGCAGAGAGACAATGCTGCCCTGCTTAAAGCAAGCAAAGCAGGCTCACACAACAGAAGAGAGATATTTTCCTGTAATGTAGATTGCAAGGAAAAGGCAGTGTGTTTTGCCCTGTAGGTTTAGGAATTTTTATTTGTTTGTAATAAGGTGGTTTTTATGCTCTGCTCTGTAATTTCTTGTTAGATCATGGACTACTTCTAAAGGATCCGTAAAAGCTCGCTGACAAACGCAAGCTCAGGTATTCCTCACTGCCATCTGCTCATGCCAATATCCTACTGACAACTGTGTATCTACCAGGAAGTCTACAAATGGCAAATTCAAAAAAAAATCCCAGGTTGCACGACAACTGGAGATACTGTGGGGAAGAAGTCTCTGTCGATGGATAAGCTGAGAAAAGCCTGAATCGTGCGCCACCAGCTGAGTTCCAGGATGACCACAGGAAGCCAGCTGTTCCCCCGAAATATCCCCTGAACAATATCACGGAGGGACAGAGTCAAAACCTTATACCACAGGTGCCCACTCAGCGCGTCCAGAGACTCACAAACTCTCCACCACACACGCCGTTCGCCGGAAAAACTTGGCCAAGCACACGGCAATTCCTGGACAACTTCCACTGAGGCCAAGGCGACGGCGGACAGGCGCGGTTACGCTGAGCAGAGCGAGCGAGCAGAGCGAGCAGGGCTGCGCCAAGGCATCAGTGCCCGCGACTCGCTACGTGCGGCCCGTCGTGGGGCGGCCGCGGCGCGCAGAGCCGAGGGCCGGCAGT